CTGAGGAGAGGAAATTAAGGCTGTGGTCCGAATATAACTAGGGTTGTGGTTTCGCGGTCCAAAAGTAATCAAATTACTGGTTCCTAGGAAAGTGGTTACTTTTGGACCTCGATTTCCTGAAATCTGAGCCGCTTTCCAGAGCCGCTTTCCAGTATGCACATTGGCGCGCTCTGGCGCGTTCTAGAGCACCTCAGGGGCGCCACGCGCTAGATTTGTACCGTTCCAGTATCATGGCGTGAGACGCCTGTCTTAGTGTCAAATATGTCAAATTTTAAAAATAATTATCTGTTTGTTGATGCAGTTTGTTTTTTATTTATTAAAAATTAGAAAATTAAAACTATATTTCAGAAATGTTCTATCCCGAGATATAACAAGAAACAAATAAATAAATAGCCACCCACGGATGTGACAACTGACAGGTTGACGGGTACGTACAGCTAGGGAGCTCAACGCCCCGAGTAGCTCCGGGCGTCAAGTGAATTATAAATGGCTTTACGGTCGGCCGTGTTTTAATATTTTACTGTTACTGCTACTGTTACTGATACTGACACTATAAATCCAGCTTCACACTCCCATACTGGAAAGCGGCTCAGTATGCACATTGGCGCGCCCTGGCGCGCTCTAGAGCACCCCGGGGGCGCCACGCGCTAGATTTGTACCGTTCCAGTATCATGGCGTGAGACGCCTGTCTTAGTGTCAAATATGTCAAATTTCAAAAATAATTATCTGTTTGTTGATGCAGTTTGTTTTTTATTTATTAAAAATTAAAGAAAATTAAAACTATATTTCAGAAATGTTCTATCCCGAGATATAACAAGAAACAAATAAATAAATAGCCACCCACGGATGTGACAACTGACAGGTTGACGGGTACGTACAGCTAGGGAGCTCAACGCCCCGAGTAGCTCCGGGCGTCAAGCTGAATTTATAGTGTCAGTATCAGTAACAGTAACAGTAACTTAAAACTTAAAACTTAAGAACAGATATGAAAATAACCATTTCTTAAGTTTTACTGATAAGTTTGTTAAGTGAATTATAAATGGCTTTACGGTCGGCCGTGTTTTAATATTTTACTGTTACTGATACTGACACTATAAATCCAGCTTCACACTCCCATACTGGAAAGCGGCTCAGTATGCACATTGGCGCGCCCTGGCGCGCTCTAGGGCACCCCGGGGGCGCCACGCGCTGGATTTGTACCGTTCCAGTATCATGGCGTGAGACGCCTGTCTTAGTGTCAAATATGTCAAATTTTAAAAATAATTATCTGCTAGGAGATTCCATTTGCTATCGAGATCACGAAATCGAATCGCTTTCGTACTCGATACCAAATACGATATCGAGCAATCCGGAATTCCCATTCGAAATCGTATTCACCAACGGATAGGTCGGTATCGAAATATTCGAAATCCGTAGCAACCGTAGCATTCAAGCGCATTTAGATAGAGAAGTGCCGCCAAACTTTAAAAAATAATAAAAATCGTCACTTGTAGCAGTTTGTTAGAAGTTGGTTGTTCTTCTGTTAATTTTATTGAGTTTTTTGATTTGACTTCAACAGATAGATTTGCATTGCACTGTCGTATTTATTACTTTTTTTTACTACTAACCTGAGAAATAGACATTATTCAATCTATTTTTCTAAGAAAAAATTGAATTTCTCTCCCTAGGCTAATAATGAAAATAATGAAAAAATACCTAGGTTAATAATGAAAATGACGTCATGACGCAAGGATATTGTCATGTTTCTATTGGTTCAATTTCAATTTCATACGTCAATTTGAAAAAAAAATGCAGGTTTCTGTAGGTACATAGGAAGTTATATAAGCTGTTAATAGAGGGCAGCACTTTCAAGAGGGCGTTCACAAAAAATAATTAGAACACAGATTTTAAACAAATTTTTTATTTTTTACTAGCAGTAGTAAAAAAAATTCTATATATTCCTCGGTAGAGAAAGTCATTATATACCTCAAGCATTATAAAAGCTTTCGGTATATAATGACCAACTTCTCTACCTAGGTATATAATATACTATTTTTCTCACTATTGTGGCGGCCACTAATAAGGCTAGGTAATTAGAATTTTCAGTCAGGTACCAATGATGAGTAGGTTAAGTAATAGATAGTGTCTTTAAAGGTCAAACTGAAAAATGCTCCCAATATTATTCACAATCGTCTACAATAGGAATTGCTCGACGAGAAAGAAATAGACGATTGATAATGATTGCTAGAAATATTTAAGTAATTTTCTGGCTGAAGGGATATACCATAGTTCAGTCCCTAATTTTATTAAAATCTTTGTAACGCTGAGGTTCTGTGCCACGATCATACCAGCGAGATTTGGGACTTTCCCTTTCCATAGAAAAATAATTCAAGTTGTAAAGAATAGAAAAAAAACAACAAAACATGTGTCAATGTTGTCAATTTCATGTCGAAAGCGAGCAATCCACCAGCTTAGAGCTGGCGAGTAATCCGATATCGTTCTACTCGAAGCGACCGTTTCATTTCTCGAATGGGAATCGTAAATTTCACCGAAAGCGCCTAATCCGATATCGTATTGTCAATTGTAATTCGGGCCCTGTTCGTTGGTACAATTTGTTTTTTATTTATCAAAAATTGAAGAAAATCAAAACTTATATTTTGGAAATGTTCGATCCCGAGATATAATAAGAAACAAATAAATAAATAGCCAGTGTTACCAGATTGGGGGATTTTCCCCCAAATTTGGGGGATTTTCAAGTAGATGGGGGAAAATCTGGGGGATAGTTTTTTCTGGGGGATTTTTTGGGGGTAAGAATTGTAAGAATTTTTGCTATTGGGGGAAATCGGGTATATTTCAATGGATAAAACTAAAGTAAAAAATTTATTAAAACAACTGCGCCATCTATTTTTTCAATCAAGTACCAATCAAAAAGATACAGTTTGCTTCTTCTCGGGATGAACGCAAACGCTCAGTTCTAGATCTATTTTAATTTGTATGACAAATGAAAATTGACTTTACAAATCGGATCGGGGGAATCCCCAACGACCGACGTTGCTTGCATTTTTTATTTTGCCGTTTGCATTTCGTTGCGGTTATAGTGTGTAGTGCTCTAAGTTGCTGTATTCTAAATTTTAATACAGCGTAATATAATAATAAACTATCCAAACTTCTTGGTACAACTGTACTTATCTGTTCTGTCACCAGTCACAACATTTTATTTCCTTTGTCATTTGTCAATTGTCATTTTATTTTTGGGTTTAGAAAAATATAAACAAATAAAAAAGTGGTAAGGGTATGAGTTTTATTTTAAAATATTCAACGAATTTGTCTTTTTTTTGCAAGTATGAGTCGAGAATAAATCTATATTTATTTGGGGGATTTTAGTTGACAAACAGTGATTTTTGGGGTATTTTTGAAATCCTTTGGGGGAAATTAGTTATAACCATCTGGCAACCCTGTAAATAGCCACCCACGGATGTGACAAATGACAGGTTGACGGGTACGTACAGCTCGGGAGCTCAACGCCCTGAGTAGCTCCGGGCGTCACACTCTCATACTGGAAAGCGGCTCTGGTTAACCAAATGTCAAAATAGTTACCGGCCATTGGATGTCGGTTCTGTAAGTTTTTGTCCGTAATTTCCGTCAATTATTTTTCTTTTCATATTCGCGTTCCCCAAGTAACCGGAACTTTCAGTAACCATCTAACCAATCCAAAATTTGGTGGTTCGTATTGCATTAGGGCGAGTTCTCACAAAAACTCGTTACACGATATCAAATAAACCTAGTGCAAAACTTGTTTCATATACCAATCGAGAACAGAAGAATGAAGCATTTTCATCTGGCTCTAAGTGGACCGGAAAAAGATCGATTAATTAAAGGACCCCGCAATATTTAAATGGAAATTGGTTACCCGTGATATTTGGATGAAAGTTAAATATGTTATTAGGGTTTCCGTAAGCAACATTTTTTACCATGGGCACAACCCTGTATATATGACAGGTGAGGCGTGGTTAGCTGTCAAATATTGGAATCTTATATCCAAAAACAGAGTAACTATGGCAGATTTTGATGAACAAAAAATCTATTTCTACTAAGTCGACCAAGTTAAGTCGAAAAATATTAACCATTTTAACACCTGTCAAAACCCTGCCAAACGGCAGCACTCATTTTTTCCAGTTTTCAAAATTTTATGTTGTCCTTTGACATTTTTAACTTATATATAAATTCTAAATTCAAAAATTGAAAAAAAAACATGACAGAACTGTCAAAACCTGTCATTTGTTTTAGTAGAAAAAAATACTCTAATCTGGTCCTTTCTCGTTTTAAGGTAGTTTATTGGTGATGAAACATTGAACAAAGTTCATGCACGTCACATTTTGACAGCTGTCATTTTTTTTTTCAATTTTTGAATTCAGAATTTACATATAAGTTAAAAATGTCAAATGACAACATAAAATATTGAAAACTGGAAAAGATGAGTGCTGCCGTTTGGCAGGGTTTTGACAGGTGTTAAAACGGTTGACATTTTTCGACTTAACTTGGTCGACTTAGTAGAAATAGATTTTTTGTTCATCAAAATCTGCCATAGTTACTCTGTTTTTGGATTTCAGATTCCAATATTTGACAGCTAACCACGCCTCACCTGTCATATATACAGGGTTGTGCCCATGGTAAAAAATGTTGCTTACGGCATCCCCAATAACATATTTAAATTTCATCCAAATATCACGGGTAACCAATTTCCATTTAAATATTGCGGGGTCCTTTGTGACCAATCTGTTCTGTTCGGCGTTCGCACAGAAATCAGAAACCAGAGTCAGAGCGAATTTTATTGGTTGGAAAAGGTAGTGGTTGGAAACAGTCAGAAAACTACTTTCTTTCAACCAATGGAATTCACTCTGGTTGCAAGTGAAATGAAAACCCCTCGAAAAAACCCCAATTTTGGCGGGGAATCCCCCGTTTGCGTCCTTGGCGTGAATCAGCACATATTTCTTATCTCTCTATTATTGTAATCCATATATCGCAATTCGCGTCGTATCCTCTATGCACACATGTTTTTTGTTTCAGAATTGGCCGTTCGTCGCTGGTAGCTACGGCTACGAACCAAATATTTTATTATTTTTCCACAGCAGTGCAGTCAAGTACCAGTGCCTGTCCTTGACGGTTTAGGTTGTTTTATCAACAGTGTGTTGTGAATCATGATTCATGCAAGTACTTATATTATTTTTTTTTAATCCTATTCTCACAATTCCTGTAAAACTCGGTGTGTAAAATTTAGTGTGTGCCGGCCCCAAGAATTGTGAACACGTCATCCAGTTCCTAGTAGACAACCCCAACCAAAAAGAAGGTTAAAGGGTAAGTTTTCCCATTATTTTTGATACCTAGCTAATTGAAAATTTTACTAAATTGGAAAAGAAATTTGGTATATTTAAAAAAAAAAATGATTAAAAACTAGAAAATATGTTTTGAAAGTTTTTCTTCAAGGAATGTATATATCGCTGCTTTCCGAAAAGAATGGCACAACTCAAAATTTGTCATTTTTCAGTACAAGCAATTGAAGTTTTTATTATCACATTTTATTTTGTTACACAACCAGGTTTTTATGAATTTTTATAATTGGTTTTGATTTTAAATAAGTAAATTCTCGAACGTGTGTGATGCTAGCTCCTTGTAGCCAGCTCCTTGCCACCAATATGAATCCGCGAACGTAGTCGAAAGTGTGAAGCCAGCTCCTTGCGAAAGGCAACTTTTATCACTTAATAAAAATAAAGCTGAACATATTTTTCAAATAATTTAAAAAGGGGTGCGTTCATAAATGAACGCCCGGCGCTCCCCGATCGCCCAAATGCGTTCATAAATGACTTCGGCTTCACCGGTGTCAATGTTCCAGGCGTTCATAAATGTTCGTTGGTGTGCACCCGGAGCGCGCCCGAATCGACCTGCTAGCTGACATGGGTAAAAATGACCCGACATGCGCAGTACGTTTCAGGAGTGGACGTTTGTTTGTTTTCGGTTTTCGGGTTCGCAGTTTTCGTTTATTATTGATAACCTCGAAAAAGGAGATTTTTGATATTTTTAAACTGTTGAGTATTATTTATTGAAGTTGGTTGAAGTTGTTAATATGGATGAGGAAATGGAAATTAATCCCGAGAATTTCAAACTGATCGAAATTGATGGATCACCATTTGCAAACGATGAAAATCACATATATTTACAACATGTTCTAGGTTAGTATTTAATTTACAGGTTTCTGATAATAATTACAATAGTTTCTCTGAATCAATCATTAGTTTTGACCATTTTATATAGTTTTGAGAGCGACCCAAGTTGGTGATTGTGTCATTAAACGTCCCACGAATTTCGCTACAAATCTTTTATGAAACGATGGTTCACTTACTGAAATATTATTTTGATCCAAGAAAAGTTGTGGCAAATTACCTAATTCACTTTTTCTCTAGAGAAAATAAGTAAAATGAGATGCTCGATCTGGTGAAGTATTACAAGGTTAATAGGTATATTTTCTTTGAAATGCCCAGGCCTGGTTAGATGCGATGCGGGAAATATTAAATGAATAAATTTATTTGCTCAAATTAATAGGAGAATATTGTTATTTAAAATCATCCCTTGAATTGTTTCGAAAAGCATGATTTTCCAGCCAGTCTAGCGGTATCGCCGGTTGGATTGTCGGAGGAGTTTGGTTTGATGGCGGTGAGTTTGGTTAGTATAATTTTTCTCATTTCTTTATGCGCTTTATACCTATTTTTTGAAATTTAATGTAATGTTTTTTTCGTTGAAACGCGTGTATTCCGCAATTTTTTCTTTTCAAAAAAATACTATTAGAACCAGAACTTACGTCTAAAAATTGTTTTTTCCTTTAATTGGTGGGACGCTATATGACACAAGACCCCCATTATTATTATAAACCATATAATATGCTACTTTTGCAACTACATGAATCTGATAGAACTTGTAGGGTATCTTTCAAATGTGTAGGATATGTAGTTCCTATTTTTTTCAGATGGAAGCATTATAATTGCACCTTTAGATGAAGAGATAAAAAATATGTTTTTTCCATGTCAAGCCACACAGCAGTCAACTTCAATGCATAAGAGCAGTGGAACTCGAACATGGACTCGATCTGACATTCTAGCATTAATAGATGCAGTGAAAAACCATCAGGAAAAATTCAAGTCCAGTACAATGAAAAATGACGCTGTTTGGAAAATTATTTCTGCTACATTGGAAAAAAAAGGAAAATGTTTCACAGCGACTCAGTGTAAAGACAAATATAAGTATCTCAAAGGAAAATATATGAAAAAAAAAGATAATATGAGTGACAGATCCAGTGGTGCGGAATTTATAAAATTTGAATATTTCCACGAAATGGACGAATTTTTGGGAACGTCCCATAATGCAAACCCTATTGCCTTGGCTTCTAACATCAAAAAGCACCAAGGTAAATATACGACTGGGGAATTGTAAAAGAATTACATTGTCATCTATCACTACATAGATGTATATAGGATGGAATTCTTAAATCAAATAAATTCAGTATTGGAAAGCCTGTTTATTTGCTGAAAAAATTAAAAAAAAAACGGGTCCCTTTATTTGTAATTTAGCACATTTTTTCGACCTTCTCATGGAATTTACCCCTTTTATAAGGGTTTCAACTTTTTTATCAAATGTAAAGGCATGTATTGTGATAGCTCGTTGGAATGGGCATAAAAAAAGGAATATGACACATTATTTACTTTTGCATTTCGGATTTCGGTGATCTAGGAAGCTAGAAAATATTCAAAAAATATCTTTTCACAAAATTTTTTTTACTGTTAAAATTGTTGAATATCTTCAGGATTTTTTCTTGGTAGAACGCCCCCTTTGTTATGTTATGTAATAATTTGGTGCCTTACACTCAGATTGTCAAAATTAAATAGTGTACTAACGTCAGAATTTATTACATAACATTACAAATGGGGCTTTTTTTCACATTAGGGTTCTACCAAGAAAAAATTCTGAAGATATTCAACAATTTTAACAGTAGAAAAAATTGTGTGAAAAAATATTTTTTGATTATTTTCTCGCTTCCTAGATCACCGAAATGCAAAAGTAAATAATGAGTCATATTCCTTTTTTTATGCCAATTCCAACGAGCTATCACAATACATGCCTTCACATTTAAAAAAAAAAAGTTGGGGGGGTTTCTACCCTTATAAAAGGGGTAAATTCCATGAGAAGGTCGAAAAACTGTGCCAAATTAAAAATAAAGGGACCCGTTTTTTTAATTTTGTTCAGCAAATAAACAGGCTTTCCAATACTGAATTTATTCCATTTAAGAATTCCACCTGTATAGTAAGGTGTTCACTTGACAGAATTTGCCGCAGGTAGAGGTAAAGAACAATAATTATCGAAAGTACTGTAAACTGTCCACCTGCGATAGATGCTCTCGAGAGTATTAAGTAGCATTCGACAGTTTTTCTGTTAAGTAAATACTTTTACTTTTAACTTGCCATAAAGCTGAAATCAGAAAGTCATTCCTTTCAACCACCCCATATAATTATATTGCGGAATCTGCATATTACCGCTTATATTACCAAAACGAAACATTCCAAAATTTTAATGTATATTTCAGTCCCAGACACAGAAGAACGCAATATGTTAGACAGTGATGATAATGACACTGATACATCGGAGCCTAGTTTGAAGAAGAAAAAAATTGCCACTAAGCGAAAATTGCCAGAAAAGGAGAGTCCCCTTCAGAAATATGTCAAAGAGTTACATGAAAATACAAATAAAAGAGAAGATAATATGGAAAGACGCCATAAAGAAAATGTGGAATCACGCAAAGAAGCATTAAATGTCTTTGCTCAAAAAATGGATGCTATTATATCAATAATGGCTAATAAAAACAAGCAATAGAGATAATAAAAAAAATTACAATTTTTTTTGTTATTTTGTTCAAAAGTTTATTTGTTGTGTGGTTACCAAAAAAAATGAATATTTTTAATTTTATTCAAGTTGTGTAATTCCACTAGAATTACATTTTTATTATTTTGTTTAAAAGTTTATTTGTTTAGTTATTGGTTATCGTTACCAAAAATAATGTTTATTTTTGTAAGTTCCATTTGATTTAATTTGTCTCCATAAGGTATAGTATTTCCAAAGTCAGTTGGAACAAGGTAACAACTGGTAGCTGATTGAATATTTTCATAAGAAATGCACTGCCACTAGTCAGCTACCAGTGATGATTTATGTTTACCTTGTTCCAATTGACTTTGGAAATACTATACCTATTCTGGCTGTCAAACTTAAATAAATATTAATTTAAAACGAGATTTGACATGAATAAGTACATGTAGTTCAGATTTAATGAAATTTATTTATACCTCTACTCTCGACCCAAACTTAATGTCTAAAAGCCAATAAATGTTCATTATAAATAAATAGTATAAACAATAGTATATTACGATAAAAGTGGTAATTCTAAACATTTGTGGAACGTATCCCCAGCACTCTTTAAGGTTGATTTAGGGTTTCTTGGTGTTAAGTTTAATGGCAACTTCTGGATTATTCTGCGGTTTTTTTGCTACTTTTCTTACCAAGAAGTCGTTTGATTTTTACTCTACTCAAAATTAAAAAATAAATTTTAATAATTTGTAGGAGGTAGTTTTTGTTGCCAGTCCCTGCCACATCCCTAGTATCTTGTATGACTGTTATTGACAAGGATACAAAAAAAAATTAGTCCGGAAAAGTACTTTATTGCACTATTTAAAATTTGATTTATTATAGCTCAATTCGATGAATATTCACAATTTCACATTACTCTTCACTTTTTGATCAAAATTCACTAAAAAGTTTGTGGCGTATTAGGCCATAATTATAAGCTATAAGCTCGTAGAACAAATCTAGTACGTAACACGATGCGTAAAGTGCCTTTTCCGCCCTTGCCGGCTTGCCAGAACTCCGCTTTGCGTCGTTTGTGCAACTGCCGTGGCGTGCGGAAAAGTTCCACTTTTGCACATGTTAGGTAAATAACTAATTTCCACTTGTACTGTAATACACTATTATTTGCATAATCTACAGTGAATTATTAGCAGGTTTCGTTCAAAAATACAATTTGCATCATACATTCTATTGATACTGATATAATGTCCTACATATCTGTTGCCTTTTATTTCTACCTTCTTGTACTTGTTCATTATAAAAAACATCAATATCTTCTCCGTTGTTTTGTACAGCATTTAATCCTCCTCTCACATATTCCTCAATCAATAAGTCTTCAAAATTTAAACATATATTGTGTAATATAGTGCAGGCAAGAACAGTATTGGGAATAAAACTTGTTTTGTTCATGTCCA